TGGAATCTGACACTTTGAATGGTAAGAAAATTGATTATAACAGGTTTCTTTTCGTACATTTAGTTGAGGATAAGGGATACCTTCTTTTTTCAATGGTTGCCAACTGATGGGCATTAGACTTAATGCTAAAGGCTGGTTTTTAATGGCGACGGAGCCGGAGTCGGAGTCGTAATCAGAGTCGTGAGAGCGCTTTCGACCGAGTAAAAACTAAAAATTAGAGTCGTAATCGGAGTCATAACCTCGAAAGAATCGGAGCCAAAAGAATCACAATGGTTTCATTTTCTTCCGACTTCGTTTATCACTCTACACTTATAAACCAGTGAAAACTAAATTTTTAGATTCGCAAGCAGAAGCGGTAAAAACCAACCAGTAACAATGCCAATTCTCAGGTCCTCCAGGTACAGTCTTCCTCTTACCACTCCATCAATTCAGTTTTCACGAGATCGTAGGCGATAAAGTCACAGGCGGCAACGGTATTTTTCTTCTTATTCTGTCGGTTTGATTTTCACGACTCCGTCGTAACTGAAAACTAGCCCTTAACAGCGGGAAGTTCGAATACGCTCTCATCGGCCCTCTCTCTTTGAATTATTCAGTGTACTCACTTAATGGCCACTTTGTAAGTGGGAGTAGTCCCTGCATCTTTTGGTCTCGAGTTAATGCGAGTTAACTTCATAACCAGTAAACACGTAATCATTTTTTTCTTGGAGAGAAAATCGAAAAACGATCCATGAAGAGGGCGTTGTTTTGTGGTAAGATTTCTATAGATTTCCCTTAACCATCTCCTTCCATGCTCTGAATGCCGAATTCAAAATCCTTGCAGCCATGATCTGATTTTCCTATGTTCCTTCCTCTTTGCCTGATAACCCTAAGTAGTCGATTAACAAAACGACTGGTATTTGTGTCAGGCTGCTCCGTGTGTCCAGTTTATAAGCCAAGTAGCGACACATTGCAGGGAGAAGTGGCAACGAGAATTCCACGGTGTAACGTTGGAAAATTGGCGAAATTCATTCTCTCTGCGACAGAATTGCATCACTGCGACTAGTCTCGCGGATTGAAATCATTTTGATTTCGTGTGACTGATAACACCGACGAAACTGTCGCATAGACAATGATTTTTAGAAAGTTTTCCCTAGGTCGTATACGGCGGATTATCGTAACGGTTTCTCCTTGCCCCATGTTTTCGAGGGTGTTTGCACGTAGCGACTTGCAAGTCCGACTTGCGCGTAGCAACTTGGACGAAGAGACTTGCATGTCCTTCGTCCTGTCCCTCAATGAGCTTCAGATGACGATGTTCTTCATTCGTTCTAGGCCCCTAATCTAACCTTTGTCTTTACTCGCCTATGTCCACCTTACTGTAATTGACAGTGTGCCATATTTCAATAATCAATTCACCCAGGGAAGGATTGATCGAATTTTCCCCCCTCACGACTTGCAAGTAGCCAAGTGGTCAGATCATCTCTTATATCAGATCATCTCTTTTCTGCGCCAACCTCGTATCTCTCTTGTTCTAGTTCTTACTCGAGAAGCTGAGTTTCGAGTTTGTAATAACACGATAGACAGTGGGAGACAAGGATAAGGAAATTAAACCGTTTACTTAGAGAAGTCTACATGATAACGATCCCTACGAATATTTAAGTAGTTGTACTACAGGTCTCTGGATGACGCACATGCTGCAATGTAATGCATCTTAAATGTAATGCATCTTACTACAACAGAGTTCCGCTCTATCCATTGAGCTAACCGGGAGGCTCAAGAGCGCTGCACTGTTGTGCGGGAGCTCGAGGGTTCGAGGCCTGGCCGGACCAACACTCAAGGTCTTAAAAATACTTGAGAATAATATGCTACCTTTCTAACATCAAGAAATGGTTAGATATTCTAGTCTTCTCGGATAGGGACGAATAAATGGAGTTCCCGTTTCCTGCAGGGTTGGGGGTAGAAGACGTTAATTTCCCACGCATGAGATTACTGCGTAACCCACACACACGTCCTCCCCTGGGGTGGGATGGGTGGGTTTGCAGAGCCCCATTTAAACCAGCCTATGCTGAACTGGCGATCTCTGCTAAAATATGGTTGACAAATAAATAAATAAATAATCTTTCTCTCTTACTGCCTATTACAGGCCAAACATGTCACCCAAACCTTACTCACATACTCGCTCACTATTTTAACCGCGGATCTGTTTTCAATGTTAATTTGACGAAGGCCTTCGGGTGAACGCTAGGCACACTTAAGTCTCATCCGGGCTAAAATTCAGTGAAACAAAAACGTGCTTTCGTTGGCCGACAGAGTCGTAAGCAGCAGCGGTATTTTTCTTCTGATTCCGTCGGTTTGAGTTTGACTTAATCGATGATTACGAGTTCGACTCTCATCATCCGTTTATCTTCAGTGTCAAGTCATTGTGAGTGAACTCCATAACTAGGTAACATGAGATTATTTTTGTCTATTTTTCTAAACTTAGAACAAATAGTGGACCCCGAAGAGGAAGTCAAGGAAGAACAAAGGATGTCGGTAGTGCCCTGTGGTAAGATTTTAGTTTCTTTCCCTTAACCATTCCCTCTGTGCTCTGGGTGCAAATTCAAATTCTTTGCGGTCATGCTTCTATAACAGCCATGTTTTTAATAAATATTTTTATATTTCGTTCAATCGGTGATAAACTCCACTACTGCAGCACCTTCGTTTCATTGGACAAAAGAGACCACCAATTACGCCCGGTTATGCAGGCTTCTGGTGGATGTCGGATCAGGTGTCTTGCGACAAACATTTGAAAGGAAGCGTCCCCCAGGAAACCTGGACACGGTCCTATCAAGCCCTCCAGTTCATACCGTGCTCCTATCACTGAAGAAGAAGAAAGTGTTAAATCCTCTACAATGGGGTAAACTTTATCCCACTGTCAGGTGTTCAGTGTCATCGAAGAATTTCGACATAACTCTTCTAATGGTTTTGCTGAGGAACATTTGTGGTATTGTTGCTCCACCTACCGGCTGGAATACACTTCCTACTGCAGCAGACATGTCCCTTGAGGCAGATATCGTTCGCATCAAGTGCTACAGAAACATAGTTTATGGTCATGCCAGCGAGGCCTTAGTTGATGACACAACATTCAATCGATACTGGCAGGACATCCAAGGTCCAGTGGTGAGACTGGGAGGAGCAGAGTACCAAAGTGCTATTGGTGATCAGAAAAAGGAATGCATGGATCCCGATTTCGAAGAACACTACAAAGAGCTTCTAAGGCAGTGGGTGAAGGATGAAGTTAGCATCAAGGAACGACTCGATGAAATGACAGAGAAGATTGGTAAAAGCCTGGACGAATTAAAGGAAGCAATTGTCAATCCAACAAAGAAAGCAGGAGACAAAGGTATTGCGTATGAGGATAAAATTTGCGCAGCGGCCTTTTAAGGAAAGATTGCAGGGCTTCTCGTCAGAGGGTAATAAGTAGTTTAACAAATTTCATTTCAGTAATATAAAATGCCTGTCTTTAAAAAAGCCCCAGCTTGGAGGAATTTCTTCCACTAAAAAACTCATTCCCCTCTAAACCAAAATTAGAAGAAGTACCAGATGTTGCCTCTTCCATGCTTTTTGCGGGTAATGAGTGAGTTATTGGTCATTTTCTCTTTTCTTTTTTCCTCGTGCGGGGAGTAAAGAGAACTCATAGTTTAAATAGATTTCCAACAAGAGCTACTTACACCTTAATTGCAGTAAACCTTACTAAACCTGGTTGGGTTCGTCGAGAGAAAGAGGTAGAAAAAGGTTAAAATTCTCAATCAGAACTGGAGACAACAGGACGCATTCTCTTCCATAAGTTTACTTAAGCCTTTCTCACTACTGTAAAAACGAAAATCACTTACTTATTTTCTTTTAATCGAAGTTTGGACCTCCCATACCAAAAATTCCTGGATCCGCGCATGAAATGGGCCGGGTAGTATGGGCAATCACATGATTTCGAACACAATTTGGGATACATTAGTAGTTTTGGAAAATTTACAAGTACTGATTTATCCTGAACTGCAGGGATATACAGCCAAAAATATGACTGTTTTCCCCTTTAGTTGTTGTTTCTTTTTTTCTTTTTGGGTGCCATGGCTTACTGGTTTGGCCATTTCCCTTTACCGTGTTGCCAGAGCAGTCGGGCTTTTCCACCAAGAATTTGATTCGACCTTTTTAACTATCCTTCACAAATAATCATGCTTTTGTACTCTTTTTTGGTCCGTTATCTACCACGTCTTTCTTACGAATAGTTTCGCAAAACTCATCGAGAAGTTTTTTCAGGGCCTCCGATTCTTCCTTTTCAATGCTTAAGACTTCCAAAATTTTTAGTCAGAGTTTTAGCCGGACTCAAGACTAATTTGCAATGTTTGGAGAGCCTAATTTTGACACTTAGCTAGCGTTCTAACCAATTGCGTTATAAGTCAGACAGTTCAATGAATCTTTATCGAGCTTTAAAAAAAGGTCATACATGAAGGGTTCGTGAGATAATTGCAAGCGACGGTTTTCTTTTCAGCTGTAACACAGTACTCCAATGTGTTGAAAGAGTCAATAAGAGGCCAAACCGAGTACCTCGCTCAAGTCTCACCAACCTTGCCCAAAGTGAGAACAGATCACATATTCACTAACATTCTCATGCAACATGGAAGAAAACCAGTCCAATATCTTGATTTGGAAAGAAAAGAATGCCTCGACCCGCATGGCCAAACGAGAAGAAAGTTTGTCGAGGATCTTGATTTGAAAAGAGAGAAACACCTTCGCCAGTGTGGTCAAATGAGTAGTAACCGAATAAAACACTCTCAAGAAATATTCCACCCAACTGATGGTAAAGATTCAAAATCTGTTCTTGTCACTGGAAAGGCTGGCATCGGTAAAACACTGTTTTGTCAAAAGCTGATCAGAGATTGGGCTGACAACAAATTATTTGAATCCCTAGGAAATACCAACCTAGCTGATTTTAAGTTTGCATACTTGCTCACGTTTCGTCAGCTTAATCTACTTGGAGACAACCCTGTTACCTTGAAGGATATCTTAAACCGATCTTCAGTGCTTGATGACCACTCAAATATCGACGACTCTTTATTTGAGTACATTGTTGATCATCCTGAAGAGGTTTTGGTTATCTTCGACGGGTATGACGAGTTTTTACAACGAGATTCCATCGCTAGTGATTTACATGAAAAGTACCCAAACAACGCCATTGAGAAAATGCCATCAGCAGCAGTGTGTGCCAAGCTTCTTAAAGGAAAAATTCTGAGAGGTTCGGTTGTAGTGATAACGTCAAGACCTGATGAATCTGACAAAATGAAAGACGAACACATTCATTTTGACAGATACGTTGAAATCACAGGATTTTCCGAGCCACAGGTAAAAGAATACATTGGAAAGTATTTCAAAAACAACGAAGGAATGAAAAATACTGTACTTGACCACATTACAAAGAATGTCAATCTTTTCAGCCTTGCCCACATTCCTGCACTATGTTTCCTGATGTGTTCTTATTTCGAATATAGTCTACAGCATTCAGATATCACAAATCCACTTCCGGTGAAAACAAGTGACCTTTATGATGAGGTAGTCAAAATGTTCGTGCAAAAGCACGATAAAAACAAAAGACTCCCTCTCGAAGTGACTGTAAATGTTTTATCAAAGCTGGCAGCTCAACTTCTTCGAGAGAGAACGTATCTGTTCATCGAAGAGGATTTAAAAACTTTCAACTCACAGGAGGTTAAAAGTCTGTGTGAAAGCGGTCTTCTTCATTGCGGTCCCCTTTTCAGAAAGTGTTTTTCTGCAACGACGAAATATTTTTGTTTCACCCATCTGACTCTCCAAGAGTACTTAGCGGCTAGGTGGTTGGTAAAGGAGAAAAAAACTCCCCCTCAACATGTGTCTCCAGAAGTATATCAATTTATGTCTGGCATTTTGTCAAAGCAAAAAGACGCCATACTCATGGAAAAGTTACTCGAGAAAGTTCTCCGTCCGCGTTTTTCTTCTGCTGGAAGAAATCGGCTTGAAATGTTTAAATGTCTCATGGAATACGAAGACGTGGAGTTTGCTAAAAGAATAGTAAAGAAACATCATCGTGACATATTTCGCGAAGAAGGAGGTATTTCATTTTTTTGTAGCCTACTGACGGATGTGGACTGCACCGCTTTGTGTTTTCTGCTTCATGTTTTTGGTGCACTCGATGCAGAAGGAAAATCTAAAGTGAAACAAGGAGCCTCTAAAAGGGGAGCAAAATGGAAGCTCACCACACTTGATCAGAGTTATAATCAGATCCCCGATGCTGGCAGTCTATGTGAAGCATTACAGACACCAACATATAAACTCACCAAACTTAATCTGAGTGGAAATCAGATCACCGATGCCGGTGTTGCCAGTCTCTGTCAGGCATTACAGACACCAACATGTAAACTCACCACACTTGATCTGAGTTTTAATCAGATCACCGATGCCGGTGTCGTCAGTCTCTGTCAAGTATTAGAGAAACCAACGTGTAAACTCACCACACTTGAACTGAGTTTTAATCAGATCACCGATGCCGGTGTTGTCAGTTTCTGTCAAGTATTACAGACACCAACATGTAAACTCACCGCACTTAATCTGATGGGAAATCAGATCACCGATGCCGTGTTGTCCGTCTCTGTCAAGCATTACAGACACTAACATGTAAACTCACCGCACTTAATCTGATGGGAAATAAGATCACCGATGCCAGTGTTGTCAGTCTATTTCAAGCATTAGAGACACCAACATGTAAACTCACCACACTTGGTCTGGGTAGAAATCAGATCACAGATGCTGGTAAAGAGCATCTGAGAAGATTTCCCGGAAAGAATATCGCATGTTAAGCTTTATTTTTGAATGGATTGAGGACACATTTTAAGAGAAGTTATGGCTTTAGACAAACTACGCGTAAGTTTAAAAACAATGGAAAGGATAGTTTTAAAAAATCGCTATACTTTTCTTGTCGTTCTTCGAATGAATTCCATTTATCATTAAATCTTTTATCAGTTACTGAATCTTTAGCATAAGATATTTTGATGAAAATGCTTTTGGATACAGTCTTCAAAAGGGGTTTAATATTTTTTCATACTATGACGATGTGAGAATGAATTCAACTATTTTTTATAACTTTTCACTTGTTATTCCTTGTTGAGTCAGTAAATCCCTGTCTTCAGGATACATTGATATCAAATCCTGAGCGTGGTAGAATATATCAATATTGGCATCAGATAGTAGTGATGTTAGGACTTGGTTAGGCAGAACTTGCCAGAGATTGACGTTTTCCTATCTGACGACTTCGTGTTTATTCATATTTTGCTATTCACAAGGAAAGTGATTGTGCTTTAGTTGTTTTAGATGTTATTTCATTAGAAAATATTGAGTATTCGTTACCTTTGAGTGTTTGCATGCTTGTTGCAATTTTAAAGCCTGTAGTGCGCATGTCTTGGTCATTAAACCGCGAATAAGCGTTATATGAGTGTAGTAGAAATCCACAAACCAAGAGATTCTCACTTTTTCTAGCGATTCGCTCAAGGCAAATGTACATAAACGAGCTAAATATACAGAACAGGAAAGCAAAACGAAGTACAAATAGAACAGGCAAAATGACGGACAAAATAACGAAACTTACAAGATTATGTGGCGACTACGACGACTAAAACATAATGACAACAGCGACAAGAAAACTACGACAGAAGAAACTATACCAAACAATAGAAACAATGCATAAAAAATGAACACGAAAATATAAAATGTGACGTAACCAAAAATGACTGGCGAACCTAATAAAATAACAAATATACACGGACAACTGAAAACGGAAAACAATGTACAAAAGGCGTGAAGGCAAACGAAGGTGAGGCGCCGTGACAACAATGAGGTCGCGAATGTTGACTACCGTAGCCGTTCAAGGACAACCAAATGGTAGCAGACGGAGTGGGGAAAAACCTTGAATATGTTATTCGTCTCTTTGTCTTTCCCCGCCATTTACAATGGTAATTGAACTGAGTGGAGTGCAATTTGGTCATAGGCGTGATTTCAAAATCAAACGAGTGCTATGTACTAGTTTGATTTTGAAAGAGTGGAAGAGCATCTAAAGCCTTCTCATTCAGCTTTCAGCCGCCCTTGCGTCTCAAAACATCTGTTTCTCCAACCTTTCCGTGATGGTCAATCATCTATTTCCGAGTGTGTTCATAAATTGGGACAAATTCAGCGAATCAACAGTGGTTCAGCGTGGTCTGTACTTTTATCGACAACGATATATTCGTCATCACAGCGATGAAAATGTTGTGGACTTAAGAGGTGCAGCCGAGTAAGTCCACAGCAAATTCTCTGTGATGACAAATATCGATTGCAATCAAAATACAGATCACGCTAAACCACTGTCGATTTGTCTCAACTCAGTTATCGACGTCAAATATAACGATTCTTTCAATGCGTGACAAGTTGACGGAACAGCGTGTCTGTACTCTTATCGACAACGGCAGATTTTCTGACTACCGCTCAGGTTGTCGAAACGTCAGTCGCCACTACCGACAACAGTCCTTTTTAGGACTAACTCACCCGGACGATCGCATTACACTTTCACAAGGGCAAATCGGTGGATCAAATTGCGACATTACTTGCCAATTGTGGGAGTCACATATCCCTTATTCATGAAGCAGAACTTAACGAGGTAAAGATCCCACACCTGATCATAAATCATGGCCATTCTTACCGAAGATTCAAACGCATACTCCGGGTACTTATCACAAAAAAGACGTTCCTGATTTTGTTCACTATTGAGAGAACTCTGCTGACCGGCTATTAGGGGCCTTAAGATACTGGACGCGGCTGCCTTTAAGAACGCGGTCACGTCCGAGAGGGCATGGGTCGTGACCGCCACCTCTGCGCGGGAAATACGAGCCTTAAGATTTGCGTTGTGCAAGCGGTCGCCGAAACACATAACAACAAACACATTCAGTCAGAGAATGACTGCTGAAATCAGGCGGTTTTGCTGCTATGACGTCGTTTAAGAAGACCCGAGAGCTTTTAACAGGCTCTTATTTAGCCGACATCATTTCTGACGAAGAATTCGTGCTCCTCTATGACTGCAGCTTTTCAAAGAACTTAGAATTACCGTATGACGAGTACGAAAGATTTGACCTCGAAGAAATGGCAGATTCGGAGTGTAGAGCAGAGTTCCGTGTAAATAAACGCGACCTACCGCATTTAGCAGAGTGTTTACAAATACCTGATGCTTTTGTATGTAACCAGGGCTCCGTTTGTGACGGTATGGAAGCTATCTGTATGCTACTTCGAAGGCTTTCATACCCTTGCAGGTACTCAGATATGATACCAAGATTTGGCAGACCAGCCCCCGTGTTGAGTATGGTGACAAACAAGGTAATTGACTTTATCTATGACAACCATGGATGGAGAATCAAGCAATGGAATCACGACCTTCTTAGTCCAGCACGTTTACAAACGTATGCAGATGCTGTGTATGCAAAGGGTGCAGCCCTTGAAAATTGTTTTGGATTTGTGGACGGTACTGTTAGGCCAATTGCACGACCAGATGAAAATCAAAGAGTTGTCTATAATGGACACAAAAGGGTGCACGCCCTGAAATTTCAGTCTGTAGCACTACCTAATGGCATCATAGCAAATATGTATGGACCTGTAGGTGGGTACTGCATTTTATTCAAGTTTAACCAATACCTAAGAGTCTTGTTTAAAACTCAAAACTTTTCACTCTTATGAATTTCAGAAGGCAGGAAGCACGATGCAAGCATGTTGGGTGATTCTGGACTGCTTCAACAGCTACAGCAGTATGCACATTCTCCAGCGGGACATCCTATGTGCATATATGGGGACCCTGCATACCCCTTAAGGGTACAACTTCAAGCCCCTTTCAGAAATGTAGTTCTCACTCCACAGATGCAGGCATTTAATTCTTCAATGAGCTCAGTAAGGAGTTGTGTGGAGTGGCTCTTTGGTGATATAGTTAATTACTTTAAGTTTATTGATTTTAAGAAAAACCTGAAGATTGGCCTAAGTAGCATTGGAAAACTTTATATAGTATGTGCTGTGTTACAAAATGCTCTTACTTGTTTGTATGGCAATCTCACCTCAGAGTTTTTTCACTTACAACCACCCACACTACAGGACTATTTTGCATAAGAATGTACTAGGTTATGGTAATGTTCACAAAATAGTTTTGTGAGTTAATTGTATAAAAACCACCTCAATGAAAGAACAATCAATGGCTTTTATTGTTGTTACCATACATGTAGACAACAAAGAACACAAAAGGGAATTCCATCCCAAAATGCCATCAAGCTTTTCAAACTTAACAAGTCGTCAAAACTTCAAGACGTAACTGTTGAACTAAGTAGAAACAAGCACTCTGAAGTAAACATTAAAGTATATTCTCTGGAATGCTTTCATGTCAAGATTAACTGTCTTTTCTTCCTGCAATTTGTTGCATGAGGCCAAACATCAAACTCATGAGTTGATTGCTCTGTTGTTGCTGCTGTTGTTGATTAGCAAGTGCTAGTTCATAAAGCCTTGTTTGTCGCTCGTGCTCTTCCCTTCTGGCTTTCTGTTCTTCTTGTTTCATTGCCATATCAATGTTTGCTTTTTCCCTCAGAAACTCTATTGTATCATTGCCACCCTTTCTTGACCTTTTCTTCGACGGCTCTGACGAACCCTCACCTTCTCCTTTCCGTTTCATCGTTTCACTCAGCTTTTCGCACGCCCTCTTTCGGACCTCCTCTCCCATCGCTCTGTCTTCCTCTGTCTTTTTCTTGTTATTCAACAATAATATATCTTGTTCTTCAGCTGCTTCCCACTTCTCGTTGATTTCCTCGAGGGCTCGGTCCAGCTCTGTTTCCTCCACTTCCACTCCACTATCTCTCCGTTCCTTCTGCATTCTTGCACGATACTTGTCCAGTAAAAGCTTAAGATGCTCCCTCACCGATTTCTTTGTGACAAGAAACCTTAATATGGCATGCGAATTGAGGTTGTCGGCTACTTTTTGCCACACTTTTCCTCTTTCAACTGTCCTCGCCTTGTGACGGTACGGTTCCAATAACAAAACCTCCCGAGCAAGAGCAATGTCGTGGTCGTTTGTCCATTCCATTGCCATACTAAAGGAAGAGAAAGTAGAATTTCAATCAAATCTTTGGCGCCATTTTTATCAAAACAAACACGAGTCGAAGAATAATGGTGCAAAATAATATAAATAATGCAAAATCATTTTCTAAAGCGGTCCTAAACTGCCACTGATTAATTTTACACGATAAAAATGAAGGTTAAAATGAAAAATAAAGCAAAACTGTCCGAGGAAATTTACCCAGATTTACCTGCTTTTCGGATTCCTTTCTGAAGACTTGACGTTTACACAAAAACCCTCTATATGCTCGGTAAATCTGAATTATGAAAACAAAAATGAACCAGACAGTTTAGGAATCTATTTCTTTTATAATAATGTTTGCAAATTTCATGCAAAACTTGTTAATTTAAGGGAAGAATTCGGAAAAATGACTTACCTTTCTGAGAGGCCGCCAAAATAAACTTCGTCGCCGCCGCAACTGAGGTGGTGGCCGTCAAGTGGCGTGACATTTATGCAAATTAAAACTGAGACCTTGCGAATTTACTTCCGGTTCACGTCGTCCTTGGCCGCGTCCAGGGTATCTTAAGGTCCCTATTGTTAATAAAAACCGCCACCATTCCTCTCCCTCTCCCAGCCTCAATATAACAGAAAGAGAGAAACAAAACAATAGAAAATAACAATTGTAACAAAGTGCAAAACTTTATTCCACCACTGTCTAATTGGCAACACCAAAAATGTTCTGTTTCGTAAGCGAGAATTTTGATCTGAATCACAAGTCAGCGACGGCGTGTCTTTCCTGGAGTCAGATGACCAAATGCATGGAAATATGCTGGCTGCGTTCAAATTACTCCGAATATCTTCTTGTCCCTTAATTACTGTGCAAACGCTAGCCAACTTGACGAGTTCCATTCCGATGCATTTTAATTTGAGTTTGTATTAATATTTTTTGGGGTTGTCTGTTTGCTTATTTCCTTTCTTTGTCATTTCATAAACTGTTGAAGGAACTCCCTATACAATGTTATAATTTCCAACTTCCTTTCGCAAAATGCGGGTCAACGGCCGTAGAGGGTGCCAAATCCTACGATGAACTTCGTTTCTCTTTTCTGGATCTTTACAGCCTCTCCAAGGCAGACTTCAATTTTGTCTTCTACCAACACATACATTGGGCCAGGTAGTTTAACTGACGATCATCGATCCCAAAATGACGCAAACTATTTTTCATTTTAGCGAACCGATAAATTTGTCTAAATTGTATTCCGTTTCATTCTGTTCCTCGTCCCATAGCTCACCAAGATTTTCAATCATAGTTCTGAGCGAGGTCTTCCCAGTTGCATTGGACTGTTGCGCGCCTGCCTTTTCTTTTTTCTTCTCCTGGTCGACTGAAAAGAGATCTAGGATTTGTCCAGTATCCATGGTCAATACGCTTAAGTTGTCTTGCGAGATCACTGTGTTGGCAATGTTCAGTTTAAACTTCTGGCTCCGGTTGTTCAAAGGGCAGATAACGCTATCCAACGGATAAATCGCTATCCAGCGGATGAGTGTTGCCAAAACGTACTGCGCTATCCACTGGATAGAGATTTATCCAGTGTATAGCGTTATCCATCCTTTGAACAACCGGGGCCTGGAGTCTAACAGAAAGTAAGAAAAAGAGTTCGGCTTGAAGACACAATCATAAAATATCTATTATCCAGCTACACTCCATAGAATAAAAATAACACCCAGACGAGTGCAAATATCACGCGGTATTTGTACTTCAGAAAACTGGTTGGACAGGATTTCTCGCATCGCGCAAGCAACGAATTGGATTGAAGTTCAAAAAAAAAAAAGAAGAAAAATGGCGGACAATTTAAATCGTTTTTCTGACGACGAAGAGTTGGAATGGCAGGCGAATATTGATCCGACTTTACCAGAGAAATCGAACGAAGAAAAGAAATCAGACGACAATGAAATTTCATCGTTTATTGAATAAAATAGAAAAAGCAATACGACAACGCGCCAATTCCGTTCCGCTTCGTATACTTTTGTTACGCACTCCCACTAAATTAATATCCGTGAAATTCGCCCGCACTAAAATAGCAATTTGGCGGGTTGGATAATAAATAACTTATTGAACGTTTTGGTGTGTCGTATGGCGGAGTATTTTCACTCGCTATGCCCATTTTGACTCGCCCTACGGGCTCGTCAAAATACGGCACAACTCGTAAAAATACTCAGCGGTACTACTTAACAAAACGTCCAATTAACAATTATTCCACGAACGCGCGTTGGATATGAGATGTTAGATAGCCAACGAGGCGCTTAGCGCCGAGTTAGCTATAATCATCTCGTATCCAACAAGCGCAAGTGGAATAATTGTTTTGTTGAAATGATGTTATCAAAATATTTGTTTTATTAACATGATTGTTTAATTAAAACGCCCCGCGTATGCTTACCATATTGTAGATTATGGTATATTGGCTCATATACCCTAATGACTAAGCCAATAAAAAGTCCTGAATTGCATTATCCAGTGATCCAGTTTTTAATAATGAGATATGTTTATAGTGTGTTATCAGTTGAAAATTACTTTTAGAATGAAGCGCACAATGTGTATATCTTTCGCAAGTTTGAGAAACAAGGAAGACGCCGGTAAAAGAGATGTTGACTGTCCTATATACAAATACATAACTGCATGATGTAATAAATTGTCCCTATAATTTTTCGCCTTTGGAAATTGAAAAGCTGATGATGTATCACGTGATAGACGTTACTCCATAAATAAACTTACATTGCTAGATGATACAATAAACATTCACAGGGATACATGAACAGGTGGATCGTCGAGAATGTAACCTCTAAAAATAGCCTTAAACACTGTGCTGTACCATTTAAGTAACGCTGCTTTAAAGCCTACCCCGTCATCTTTTCCTCCAGGGTTCCCATTGGAATCAATCTTTAAACGTTTACAACCTTCTTCTGTCCAGTAAATGAGCTCGGTCCATGGCCTGAAATGATAATCGAAGCAACCAAGAAAAGGCAACTGACCACATCAGTAGTATAGTAAATGGGGGTGCTAGCACATTCCACATTTTGTGCCAACTCATGGCCAAGCGAAGCTCTCACGCGGGCACAATAATTGAATTTTTGATGAGTCAGCAAAAATTCAAAATGGCGAATAAAACTGGTTCAAACCGGTTTTTTAAATATCTTACCAAAATTTGTAATAAATCATTTTAAATAGCTTGTAAATCCTTGAGGGGAACCCAGCTGTTGAAGTCATCATCATAACCTTTCCATTTAACCAAAGCTCGTTTATTCTTATAGTCTCTCTTTATGACTTTGTCAATTCTGAATATTTTTTGTTTAGCCTTCAATAATTCAAGCTCATAGAAACTACCTTTGATTTCTTCATTGTTTAAATCTCGTAAATCGATAGGTAATTGGATTTGTGTATTGTATTTCATCAATAGTGAATATCTCTTCTGTCCAATTTGGAGTATAGCCTTTGTCAAACAACTGTCTTTTGTATTTTGATATACGAACCTTATCACCAATTTTGTATTTTGGTTTTTGTTTTGATGTATTAATGTCACCATACAGATTAAAATAGACTATTCCTTCATTCTTTTTATTAGATGCTTCAGTAAGTGTCATTTATGCCTTTTCTCCCTTATAACTTATATGAACAACCCAAATATGCTGCCTTGCCTGAGCTATGTTTACTGGGAAAAATTATAACCAATCAACAATTGGAGTAAATGGCTATGGGCAAAATCCCATAGCCGCATTTATTTAAAATTACTGTTCAATCAAATCCTTGATACAAAGTTTGGCCCAGTAAAGGTGAGGGCACTGAAAACGCCAAAAATTACATTATAATGAGCTGAAAATGAGGAGTGGCTGGGACAAGGGGAGGAGGAGGGATGAAAAACCACGTCTTTAACCACCATCAAGATGGAACGGAGTGACGCTCACATGGGAGCCTGGTCACTTGGCAAGCACAAGTATCCTAAAGGGTATTGGGTATAATCCAAATAAATGCCACCCCAAGTCCCAGGCCCCCAAAGGAAATAAAAAGTACACAACGGGGAGAAGAAGCATAAAAATTCTATTTGCAAGCAAATATTTCCTTTATGCCTTTTCTCCCTTATAAATTATATGAACAACCCAAATATGCTGCCTTGCCTGAGCTATGTTTACTGGGAAAAATTATAACCAATCAACAATTGGAGTAAATGGCTATGGGCAAAATCCCATAGCCGCATTTATTTAAAATTACTGTTCAATCAAATCCTTGATACAAAGTTTGGCCCAGTAAAGGTGAGGGCACTGAAAACGCCAAAAATTACATTATAATGAGCTGAAAATGAGGAGTGGCTGGGACAAGGGGAGGAGGAGGGATGAAAAACCACGTCTTTAACCACCATCAAGATGGAACGGAGTGACGCTCACATGGGAGCCTGGTCACTTGGCAAGCACAAGTATCCTAAAGGGTATTGGGTATAATCCAAATAAATGCCACCCCAAGTCCCAGGCCCCCAAA